CGTTGTGGCCAACTGGGGAGTGAACCATCAGATGGAAGACCACTCTCTCTCTCTCTCTCTCTCTCTCTCTCTCTCTGCCTCTCCTCTCTCTGTGTAACTCTGACTTTCAAATAAATAAATAAATATTTTTAAAAAGATAAATAATCAAATTATTGTATACTTCAAGACAATGATAATTTATTTTTATTTGTTTAAAGATTTATTGTACCTTTATTTTTTTAAAAAAACTTTTATTTAATAAATATGAATTTCCAAAGTACAACTTTTGGATTATAGTGGCTTTTCCCCCATGACCACCCTCCCACCCTCCCACCCACAACCATCCCATCTCCCACTCCCTCTTCCATCCCATTCTTCATCAAGATTCATTTTCAATTATCTTTATAGAAAGAAGATCAACTTAGTATATACTAAGTTATCAACAGTTTGCACCCACATAGAAACACAAAATATAAAGTACTGTTTGAGTACTAGTTATACCGTTAATTCACATAGTACACACATTAAGGACAGAGATCCTACATGAGGAATAAGTGCACAGTGACTCCTGTTGTTGATGTAACAATTGACACTCTTACTTATGACGTCAGTAATCACCCTAGGCTCTTGTCATAAATTGTCAAGGCTATGGAAGCCCCCTGAGTTCACCGACTCTGATCATATTTAGACAAGGCCATGGTCAAAGTGGAAGTTTTCTCCTCCCTTCAGAGAAAGGTACCTCCTTCTTTGATGGCCCATTCTTTCCACTGGGATCTCACTCACAAAGACTTTCGTTTAGGTTTTTTTTTTTTTTTTTTTTTTTTTTTTTTTTTTTTTGCCACAGTGTTTTGGCTTTCCATGCTTGAAATGACAGTGATGATTTATAATAAAATAATCATCAATATAGCCTTGTAGCTTTACTTCATGTCTTTTTTTTTTTTTAAAAGATTTGTTTATTTATTTGAAAGGCAGAGTTACAGAGAGGCAGAGGCAGAGAGATAGAGAGGTCTTCCATCCACAGGTTCACTCCCCAGATGGCTGCAATGGCCAGAGATGTACTGATCCGAAGCCAGTAGCCAAGAGCCTCTTCCAGGTCTCCCACGTGAGTGCAGGGGCCCAAGGACTTGGGCCATCATCCACCGCTTTCCCAGGCCATAGCAGAGAGCTGGATCGGAAGTGGAATAGCTGGGACTCGAACCTGCGCCCATATGGGATGCCGGCACTACAGGCGGTAGCTTTACCGGCTACACCATAGCACTGACCCCTTCACGTCTTTTTATGACCATTAATTATCTTAGGGCATCTGGGCTTTACAAAGTTTTCCATAATTGTCAGTGCATTGTGGGCATGTTATTTCATAGCTAAAAAAAAATAAAATTAACCAGTACTATTGTGACTATATCTACTTAGCCACCTAAGACTAACCCTACTTCTAGTAATATAAGCAGGAGAATGATTTATATGATTGATGATTCAGATTAAACAAAGACAAAAAGCTTAACATGTAAGAAAAAAAAAACACTTTGCACTTTTATACTGTTTTGTCACATAAAATATTTATTGTAATATATATTTGTTGAGGCGGGTGCTGTGGCTTAGTGGTAAGACCACCGCCTACAGTGCCCACATCCTATATGGGCACTGGTTCGAGTCCCGACTGCTCTATTTCCAATCCAGCTCTCTGCTATGGCCTGAGACAGCAGGAGAAGATGGCCCAAGTCCTTGGGCCCCTGCACCCACATGGGAAGATCCAGAGGAAGCTCCAGACTCCTGGCTTCAGATCAACATAGCTCCAGCCATTGCAGCCATCTGGAGAGTGAACCAGTGAATGGAAGACCTCTCGCTCACTCACTCTCTCTCTTTCTCTCTCTGCATCTGCCTTTCAAATAAAAAATAAATAAATCTTTAAAACTATATATATTTGTTATAAAATATCCTTTTATATAGTTAAAAATGTAACTTGAAATGTATTTTAAATGCATATATAAGTGGGCCTGGCACTGTGGCATAGTGGATGCGGCACTCCAGTGCTGGCATTCCATATGGGAGAATGGGAAACAGTTAGAGTCTCTGCTGCTCCTCTTCCAATCCAGCTCTCTGCTATGGCTGGGAAAGCAGTAGAAGATGGCCCAAGTCCTTGGGCCCCTGCACCCTCGTGGGAGACCTAGAAGAAGCTCCTGGCTCCTGGTTTCACATCAGCACTGCTCCAGCCATTGCGGCCATGTAGGGGTGAATCAGCAGATGGAAGATATCACTCTCTCTCTGCCTCTGCCTTTATAACTCTGCCTTTCAAATAAATAAATAAATCTAAAAAAAGTAAGAAAAAAATATAAGTTAATAGCACAGAGATTAAATCATAGTACTTACTAAAATTTTTCTATTTTATTTTTAAAAATTAATTGACAAATTATATCAATGCAATTTTCTTAAAATAATTCTTTGGACTAGTATACGCTTTGTTTTTTCTTCAATACTTTTTAAATATATTTACGTATTTATTGAATTTATTTGAGAAGTGAAGAGAGAAACTGACAAAGAACTTCCATCTGCTGACTTACTACTAAATTCCCACAATAGCTAGGATTCGGCTGGGGCACAGCTGAGAGCCTGGAATTCAATTCAGTTTTTCCAGTTGGTTGGTAGGGACTCAACTATTCAGTCACCCATCACTGCTGCCTCTCAGGGTCTGCAGCACTAGGAGGCTGGAATCAGGAGCAGAGTGTGGACTTGAACATAGGCACCTCAACATGAATGAGGGTGTCCCAAGTGGCATCTGAACCACAAGGCCTAATGCTCATCCCTCTTCAACAGTTCTACTTACTGACCTCCACTAACAGAGAGTAATTAATAGTTGTGACTATTCTCTTGTCTATAATTTAGAAATCATCATTGATAACCCAATGAGCTTTAGGAATTATATTGAATCTTGGAAATATAGCGATGTATCCAATATTGTTCCTGCCCTCCTGTAGCTGGCAATAAACAAACTATTGAAATAAATGCTATAAACAGCAGTACGTAGAATAATTGCTTACAATTATTAATATATAAATATAAATATAAACACATTCACAGAAGAGTTGAGGGTGCTATTTAGCTGAATCTCAAACAGCAAGTAGAAACAAGCAAACTAGAAGAAAACGCCTGTCAAAGAAGTAGGCTGTGAAAAGGGTGAAGCTAGAAATATGTCATCTGGGACTCTTCTGTTATGAATCCAAAACTACAATATATTTTTTGAGACAAAACACAGATCTGGCCATCTTTTCTATTTTATTTAAGCCCCCAAATATCCGTAGTTTAATCTCATCACATGTTATATGTCTCCCTTTTCTCACAATCCATTTGTTCTTGACATTGGTACTTGACATTTACTTAAAGATGAATGAGAAGCAGAAATGCTTCATAGTTTTCAGTGTCTTAGCAGAACATTTTAATTAGAGTATTTTATGATTTTTTCTTTTTTTAAATTAGACTTTTGTATTTATTTTGTTCAAGGAATACAACTTTCTGCATTTAATACATACAGATTTGGGAACATGATGCTTCTTCTCCCTCTTTTACTCCAGCCTTTCTTCCTCCTCCCTCTTCCTTTCCCATTCTTCTTTTTTACAGAGATCAATTTTCAGTTAATTTTTATACTCATAAGACAAATCCTGCACTAAGTAGAGAGTTCACCGATTAGTATGAAGAAGAAAAAAAGATGTAAAGAACAAAAACAAACAGGAAAAACATTGTTCCCTAACAGTTAAGACAAGGTGTGGGGAGCAACTGAGACTAGACTAAGTTACTGGAATTAAGACTTATTCTATGCATCTGCTCTCCCACAATATGGCGCTGGGAGAGGAGGAAACAGCTTCTACACAGCTGCCTTCAGTTCAACCAATAAACAGCAGGACCTGCTCCTGATTGGAGGAGAGCAGCGTACTCGGCGTGTGGGTAGCAGAGTTGGGATTGGTGGAGGAGGACTATAAAGGAGGAGAGAGACAACATGCACCAGGAACATCTAAGGGGAACATCTATCTGAAGGAACACCTGTGCAGCCCCCGAGAGAGCCAGCCGGCGGTGTGCCGCTCCCCCGTGGAAGTGGGGAAAGTGGCAGGGGGAGCCGCCCTTCCACGGAGGTGGAGGGATCGGCAGCCAACCCGGGAAGGACCAGCAGCAAACCCGGGGAGGGCCGAGCAGACAAAAGAACAGCGCAGGGTCCTGTGTCGTTCCTCCACGAAGAGGGGGAGCGACAACAAGGGATGTTCAAAATCATTCCATCTCAAAGTGTCAGTGTTGCTCCTATAGATTACATTTTAAGTACTCTATTAGTTACCACAGATCAGAGACCATATTGTATTTGTCTGTTTGCGACTGGCTTATTTTACTAAGTATAATGGTTCCCAGTTGCATACATTTCATTGTGAATGACAGGATTTCTTTTTTTTTTTCACTGTTTTGTAGTATTCTATAGTGTATATATATAATTTCCTTATCCAGTCTACAGTTGATGGACATCTGGGTTGATTCCATATCTTAGCTGTTGTAAACTGAGCTGAAATGAACATGGGGGTACTTAGCCCTGCCATTTTTCCTTGAATATTCCTATAATTTACTTTGGATTTTTTGTACTTTTACTGGGGGATTTTCTGCCTTTGTATTCTTTCATGTGGTGACTTTCTTTCTGTATTTCTGTGTGTATCACATCCTGGATGCATGGTGACAAATTTTTTCAATGTCTGTTTGTTATGGAAGGCTTTTATTTCACCTTCATTCATAAATGAGAGCTTTGCAGGGTTTCTGGATTGACAACTTATTTCTCTTAATATTTGGACTCTATCTTGCTATTGTCTAGTCTGTAGGATTTCTGATGAGAAGTCAGCTGTGAGTCTAGTTGGAGATCCTCTGTCTCCATCAGTTGCTCTAGCACTTCTGTGGGTGCCCCTGCTGACTGGATGGGGGGGTGTGACCTCAACAATTGCTGGGTGGGTGTGCACACACCATCTGGGGCTGCTGCTAGGTATAGGTACAAAAATGGCACCAGCCCTCCCACCACCGCTGGCTGCAGGTCGCTGTTGTAGGAGAGTGAAGGCAAACTTTGGTTAAAGAACAAGTCCAATGGTGACACAGACTCAACAAAAGGGTGAGCAGGTCCTAGCATGAGATCTGAAACTGGGATGACTCTTCAAGAGTTTTCGAGCTGAGATAAGAGGTCTAAGTTTCTTATGTGTTCTTTAAAAAAAGATTTATTTATTTATTTATTTATTTGAAAGAGTTATACAGAGAGAGGAGATGGGGAGAGAGAGAGAGAGAGAGAGAGAGAGAAAGAGGTCTTCCATCAGCTGGTTCGCTCCCTAATTGGCTGCAATGGCTAGAGCTGCGCCAAACAGAATCCAGGAGCCAAGAGCTTCTTCTGGGTCTCCCTTGCAGGTGCAGGGGACCAAGCACTTGGGCCATGTTCTCCTGCTATCTCAGGCCATAGCAGAGAGCTGTATTGGAAATGCAGCACCTGGGACTTGGACCAGTGCCCATATGGGATACCAACACTGCAGGAGGCGGTCTTACCAGCTACACCACAGAACCAACCCCTCATTATGTTCTTTCAAGAGGCCATTTCCTCTTTCTTAAGCAAATAGCTTCAGACTGAATATAAACCCATATGATGTCCTATAAAATGTCATAATGATCTAGGTATTTATAAGATTACATACTGGAAGAAGGCAGGAAGGCAAGATAACTTTGGATCAAACTGTAAATGTGTATTGTTGTCCGTTCTCAGAGAAAGGAAATTGTTTCTCGTACTTCTTACTTGTAAGACCAGAAAAGAATGCATTCATTAGATCAATTGCCTTCTATCTCACACCTGCAGCCATTAATCCACTGAACCAGGGGTACCATTTGAATCCCCTTTGTGATACTCTGCTCTCATCCTTCAGGATCTAGACGTCTCTCTTTTGATGGTTCCGTCTGATAAATTAATTGGAGATATAATGGATATCACTCTCTTACATCTTGTAGATAGTTAAGGGATCATAATATTGGTCTGCACAATACACACACACTCACATAGGATATGTTTTTTTTTTAATTTTTATTTTTACCAGATGTATTCCTTAATCTTTTTCTAAAGATCAATTGTCTCCAGAGACAGCTAGCTAATTTGCATCTTATTACCATGATCATTTCCCCCATTTTTCCTAACATTTTCAACAATATTCTGTCAGAATTTACCATAGGTGAACATGCAAACAATTGCTGTTTTTTGACAAGGGCAGTGACAGGGTCTTCAGTTGGAACTCGCTGTTGTAGCATCCTGTTTCAAAATCCTATTTTAGAGTCTTTTTTCTTGCATCACTACTTCTATAAAATGTTGCAAAATGGGTTCTCTGAGGAGCAGACTATAAAATTCAGATTAGCTTTCAGGACATTTATGAAGGAGTTATTTGGAGATCAACACAATTAGAGGAAAGGGAGGATACAAGCCTAGGTAGAGTGAGATGCTGAGTGACACTGGATTCTTAACAAAGAATTCAGCCAGTACCACAGGGAAACCTACATGGTTTGTCAAAAGCTACAGTTTGTCAAGATTATCACAATTTGAGGTAACAGGGCCAAACCTTTATAATCGTGCAACATTGGGTAAGAGATGCCAATGTAAAGAGAAATTTACTCTGTATAAGCAGGCATTCTATAGCCAATGGAAATTCCCACAAGGTTAGCAGCTAACAGAGAGAATCCTCCAATCCTGAAGGATTTTATTGCACATCACGATACTCTGTATACATATTGACACTTCATATAGTGCCTTTGATATTTTCACTTATAAATTCCAAACTTATCTACTTAAAATATTTTATGTACACGATTGTAGAATATGTAAAAATTGACAATATTCTTTCATTATCCTCTCTCCATATATATATTCTCTCTCCATAAATATTATATATATATATATACACTTAACATCTGTATATAACATCTGCTCTCTGCCTTATTGTACTGTCTGGGATTCTAAGTACATTATTATATGGAAGTAGAGAATCTCTTGTCTCCTGACTTGAGAAGAACATATTCAATATGATGTTAATTATAGAATTCAATGAGGTTTTCTTTTATTTCTAATTTGCTGAGTTTTGTTGTTGTTGATATTTTTATAATTTGATGATGTCTTTCATCAATTATTTTCTGCATCAGTTGACACAATCATCTTAGTCCTAATAATGTGGTGGATTACATTGATTAAATTTTTTAAATGGTAAACCTATCTTGAATTTCTGGGATAAAGCCCATTTTAGTGCGATACATTGTCCTTTTGATGTAACATTGAACTTCCAAGTGTTTTTTGGTATTTTGCATTCATGAGTAATTAGGCTACAATTATTGTGCTTCCTCTATGTTCCTTGAGTTTAGTCTAATGTTTCTGAGTAATTTTTCATTTCAGTGTATATTCAATAACTGAACTTAAAAATTATCAACTCTTACCACCCTCCCACCCCCTTCCTCCTCCCTCTCTTATTCTCACTCTTATTTTTTTTAAATATTTATTTATTTATTTGAAAGAGTTACAGAGACAGAGAGGGAGAGGCAGAGAGAGAGAGTCTTCCATCTGGTTCACTCCCCAATTATCTGCAACAGCCAGAGCTAGGCCAATCCGAAGCCAGGAGCCAGGAGATTCTTCCGGGTCTCCCACACGGGTGCAGGGGCCCCGTGTGGACTTGGGCCATATTCTACTGCTTTTCCAGGCCATAGCAAAGAGCTGGATTGGAAGTGAAGTACCAGGATTTGAACCTGTGCCCTTTGGTATGCCAACAGTGCAGGCAGTGGTCTTACCAGCTATACCATATGCCGGCCCCTCTCTTATTTTTTACTAAGATTTATTTTCAATTATGCACTCATGATTAACATGCTAGGTAAAGAGTTCAACAAATAGTCTTAAAAAAAAAAAAAAAAAAAAAAAAAAAAAACTGTTCCTCAACAGTCAAAACAAGGGCTGTTGTTGTGGCTTAGCGGGTAAAGCCGCCTCCTGCAGTGCTGGCATCCCATATGGGCGCCAGTTTGAGTCCCGGCTGCTCCACTTCCGATCCAGCTCTCTGCTATGGCCTGGGAAAGCAGTAAAGGATGGCCCTAGGGCTTGGGCCCCTGCACCCACCCAGAAGAAGCTCCTGGCTCCTGGCTTCGGATTGGCACAGCTCTGACCAATGCAGCCATCTGGGAAGTGAACCAGTGGATGGAAGACCTCTCTCTCTCTCCCTCCCTCTCTCTCTCTCTCTCTCTCTCTCTCTCTCTCTCTGTCTCTGCCTGCCTTTCCTTCTCTGTGTAACTCTGATTTTCAAGTAAATAAATAAATCTTTTAAAAAAAAGGGCTGTTGAAGTCATTGCTTCTCCAAGTGTCAATTTCACTTGTAGAGATTGCCTCTTAGGTGCTCTGAACCACTATGTTCCTAAAGTTGTATTTATGAAAGGCGTGAAGTCTGTATTCCTTAAATAAAAGGTTTCTTTTTCTATTTCCTAAATACCTTTGTTTTTGCATTCCTGCTTATATATTGTTCCCTACTGCTTGATTTAAGTTTATTTCTTCTTATAATTTCTTATTTATAATTATTACCTTGTTTTCATGTGAATGTTATTCAGATATGATTTATGTACAATATAGTCATTTCAATGTAAAGTTTGATGAATTTTAACAATATGTACACCCATGTAATTCACAAAAATCAAGATTTAAAACCTTCCAACATTTCCTTCTGCCCCTTTGTAGTCAGATTCTAACCTACGCAATAATTGACTTGCTTTCTGTCACTATGGACTAGTTGTATACTTTTCTGAATTTCATATGCATGGGATTACACTGTGTATACTCTTTCTTCTGGCTTTTCATGCTCATCGTGTTTTTGGGATGTACACATTTTGTAGTATTTATCAGTAGTCCATTTATTTTTAGTGCTAAATTAAATCTGCTTACCTATTATCAGCTCTTAGATATATGGATTGTTTGCAGTTTTCAGCTATCGATAAAAATATTTGCACAAGTCTTTATGTGATATACATTTGCATTTCATTTAGGCAAATATCTAGGAGTGCCATTTCTGGCTTATATGGTAATTATATATATAACCCTTATAGTAAATCCCTAAATTATTTTCAAAGCAACTATACCTTTTTACATAACAAATCGCAATAGGATCATTCTATTCTTTCTATATCCTTATTAAAAACAGGCTATAAAGGACAAATACCATAACAGACAAATTAGATAAATTGAACTTATCCAAATAAAAACTCAATGTTCTTTGAATGCATAAGCAAGAAAATGAAAAAGCAAGTCAAAGGCTGGGAGATTTGAGGGGCTGGCGCCATGGCTCACTTGGTTAATCCTCCGCCTGCAGCGCTGGCATCCAATATGGGCGCCGGGTTCTAGTCCCGGTTGCTCCTCTTCCAGTCCAGCTCTCTGCTGTGGCCCGGGAAGGCAGTGGAGGATGGCCCAAGTGCTTCGGCCCCTGCACCCGCATGGGAGACCAGGAGGAGGCGTCTGGCTCCTGGCTTTGGATCAGCCCAGCGTGCTGGCAGTAACAGCCATTTTGGTGGGTGAACCAACGGAAGGAAGACCTTTCTCTCTGTCTCTCTCTCACACTGTCTAACTCTGCCTGTCTAATAAAAAAAAGGCTGGGAGATTTGATAGATATATTGATAAAATTGAGCAGAAAAAATACACTAAGTGAAATTAAATATGTCATCAAAGTCTTCAATAGCAGATGGATCAAACAGAAGAAATAATTCGCTTGAAGCCAAGATATTTTGAAATATGCAATTGGAGGAGAAACAAAGAATCCAGAGGAATGAAGATGGGATAACATGAAAAGAGCAATATTGCAGTTATTGAGATTCAAGAGGAACTGAACATAAAGCACATTCAGAAGGATATGAGAAAATACTTCCTACTCTGAAGACAGATGGAACCATCCAGGTACAAGGAAGTCAAAGGACACCAGTTGCATTCAACTTAAGCAAGTCCACCCAAAGCCGTATTATATTCAACTTCTCCAACATTAAAAATAAACACAGAATTCTCAACATTGCAAGGAAAAAAAGACCAACACACTAAAGAGTATTTCTCAATTCACTTGACTGGAGATACTGCAGTAGAAACCTTACATGCTGAGAGAATGGAGTGAGATTCTTAGTACTGAGGTTAGATAATTTCTATCCAGAAAAACTGTATTGAGCAAATTTATTCTTTCAATATGAGGGAGAGATACTTCTATCAGATAAGTAGGTTTTTAAAGGCAGTGAAAGGATACCAGCAAGGTCATTACATAATGATAGAGTTCCATCCTGCAAGAGGAAATAACATTTGTGTGTATATATGTATAGATAGATAGATAGATAGATAGATAAAGATATATAGTTTATAGCCCTTGTCTCTACTGTTGAGGAATAGTGTTTTTTTGTCATACTATTTCTTGAACTCTTTATTAGTGTAGGGTTAATCATGAGTATAAAGTAAACTGAAAAAAAGATTTTTGTAAAAGTTAAGAGTGAGGATAGGAGAGGGAGGAGGAAGAAAGGTTGGAGCTTGAGTGTGAGGGAGGATAGAGTGGGAAGTATCACTATGTTCATGAATCTATATATATGAAATACATGAAATTTGTATATATTTAATAATTTTTTTAAAAAATGTCCCATCAAAGAAAAGCCCAGGATCAGATGACTTCACTGCTGAATTTTACCAAACATTTGAAGAATTAATATGAATCCTTCTTAAATTTTAAAAAATAGAAAAGTATGGAGTTCTTCCAAAGTCATACTATAAGGTCAGCCTTTTTTCCATGCCAAAATCAGACAAAGATACATCCAGAAAAAAAAAAAAAAAAAGAAAGCTATAAACCAATATCCTTGATGTTCATAGACACAAAAATCCTCAACAAAGTATTAACAAATTGAATCCAATGACACACTGAAAAGATACTCAAGGCCTAGAGTTGTGGCATAGCAGGTTAAGCTGTGACCGATAATGCCAGTTTCCCACATGAGCTCCAGTTCTACTCCCGACTTCTTTACTTCTGACACAGCTCCCTGCTTAAGTACCTGAGAAAGCAGCAGAAGATAACTCAAGTGCTTGGGCCCCTGCCCTCATGTGCGATACCTAAATGGAGTTCCTGGCTCAGCCTCACCTAGTCCCGACCCTTGCGGCCTTTTGGGGAGTGAACCAGAGAATGGAAGGTCTCTCTCTCTCTCTCTCTCTCTCTCTTTCTCTCTGTCTCTTCCCCCCATAACTCTTTAAAATAAATAAATCAACATTTTAAAAAATAATTTAAAAATAGATGAATAAAAGATCTTTCATCATGATCCAGTGGAATTCATTGCAGGATTACAAGGATGGTTTGATTTATATAAATCAATTAATGTGAAACACATCAATAGAATGATCACTTCTCGGCCTTTTGGCTAAGATCAAGTGTACATCAATAGAATGAAGGACAATAATGATATTATCATCTCAATAGCTACTGAAAAGTCATTTGATAAAATTCAACATTCCTCATGATATACGTTCAAATTAGGTTAACATACCTTAATGTAAAAAGTGTTGCAAAGCCATCAGATAACATAATAATGAATGAGGAATAGCTGAAGGCTTTCTAAGATGTGGAACAAAACAAGGATGCCCACTTTCATCATTTTGCTTTTCAGGATAGTACTGGAGCTCCTAGGTAAAGCAGTTAGACAAGAGAAGGGGATAAAATGTTTCGATTCATGTAATTCATGGGAGAGACCTGGACAAAGTTCCAGGCTCTGGCTGCAGTCAGACCCAGCACAAGCTGTTGTGGCCATTTGGGGAGTGAACCAGCAGATGAAAGATCTGTTTCTCTCTCTGTCTCTTCCTCTCTCTCCATAACTCTGCTTTTCAAATTAATAAAATAAAAATCTTAATTTTTTTTTTAAAAAAGAAGGTATCGTGTCTGCTTCCAAATATACATCCAGTGTTGGTATTCTCATCCAACATCAAATTACAGGCCTCTCTTTTCTCCCTGTCTCAATAATGTCACTCTCTGAACTCATGCAGTGCTACTCCAACTGGACTTGCTTTTCATGAACAGAGTGATGTATTTTAAAAAATAAAATCAAATCACGTTTCATCCTACTAAAGACAATTCAGTGAATCATTGACACATTTAAACCAACATTAAAAATACCTAGCATTCTCTCTAAGGAATTGCATGTTCAGCCTGCCCTTCTGTGTTTCGTCTCCTTCTCAAGGTTTGGCACTAACTTTCTTGCTTGCTAAACATTCGTGACCAGTGTCTTTCAGGTTTTTGAGACTTTTTTTTTAACTTGGAAGCATGTTCATCTGGTAAAGTCTCGAATAGTACTGAGTTACTGGACTATAAGATAATGACTGCTTACTTTAAGTTACACGTATGACTAAGACTTAATGTCTTTCCCCAAAAAATTTCATGGGAAACTTGAGAGCTCTGGTACCCAAAAGTTTGTGGCACTGATAATAATTTTATAAAAGATAATATCAACATCTCTAAAATTATTAAACCATTTTAAACACTAACAAAACAACCCATTTCAGTTTTTTTCTGTTTTTATTTAGAAAGTTCAAACAACATCACAGTTCAGAAATATTTTAATCTCATTATAATTTAACATTTAAAAAATCTAATAATTTTGATTTTCAATAATGAAATTTATAAAAATAATTTTACATTTATAAAATGAATTATTTCACAATAACTTATCCATTTCTGTTACCTGAAAAAAAAGTTGTGTATTATATAAAAGCAATAACTTTCTTATCAATATATTGAAAATATGCTGAAAACATCAGTTCCTGTCTAGCATTTTTGGCAGTTCTGTATATAAAAATATTATATTACAAATCCCCTGACCATAGGTATTAAAACCAAATCATTGATAATAATTTCTAAAACATAGTTGTGTAGTAATAAATTAGAAGATCCACTAAAAGTAAATTTTGTGTTTTACATTTTAGCGGTGTTTGTTATGATCTGAATGCTTGCCTAGTTCAAAGTTCCTGTGTTGAAACGTAATTGCCAATGTGACGGCATTAGCAGGTGGTGCCTTTGGGATGTCATGAGGGCAGAGCCCCTGTGAATGGGATTAGTGCCCATACAAAAGAGGACACAGAGAGCTCCTGCCCCTTCCACAAGCAAGGACCTAGCTTGGAGGTCCCACTCTGAAAGAGACACTGAATTTGCCATGCCTTGATCTTGGACTATTTAACAAGGAGAACCATAAGAAATATATTTATGTTGTTTATCATATGTGCGGTTTATGGCATTTTGTTATTAAAGCTCAAATGGACTAAAACAGTGTATTTTATATCTGCTGACAGAAGAACCCAAAATAGTAAACAAAACCTACAGAAGACATTTGTATTTATAAAAATCAAAGACATTCATGAGACAGACATTAGAGAAAATTTTCCAAAATTAACAGCTAAAATTTTTTCCATCTCACCTATATATTTTACAGTTTCACAAGAGTGCCAGCTCTTGAAGGAATACTATTGATTGTATTAAATCAATGACAGCTTTTAAGTAATCATTATTCCACTTTAAGTGTTCAGTTTCATTTTAACAGCCAATAAGTCAGTTAATGTTAACATCTTTTTATTTCTAATAATAGAAATTTTGAAGGGCCCTAAAATGATTTAATTCAATCTCTTACAGCTTGAGATACTCTTTATTACATCATTCATAATTATGTTCCCTGCTTCAGTAAGTATAGTGAGAGAGAGGAACCACTGCTTCCTGAGGTGAAGTGTTACTGATTGTTTAAAATAAATTCCAGATTCAGATGATATTAAGGAGCTTAGGGCTCCAGTTAGCTGTGTTCAGTCCAGAACCGGTCATTTCACATATTCCGGGTTGTTGAATTTCTGAAAGTCTTCTAAGTCAGTTATTTGATTTTGCTTTGATTTATTTTATCAAAATTTATTTGGTGTATTTTTATTTTCTTTAATGTTTTGAGGGGAAGATTTTTGTCATAAGTAGAAAGGTGGTTCATATTCACACTACAACAATTTTGTGCTCATCACTTATTTGAAAGATATATTACAGATAACATGACGGACAGCATTCATCCAATCACTCAATTGCATATATTTAAAAACCGCAGTGTGAGTAAAGTCCTCACATTTTTCATCACATACCAAAGATCACCTTCATTAAAGTCGATCAGACCTGAGTTTTGAATGTGGCTTCTTACTTTTCAGGTATATGAAGTTCGGTTACAATCCATAAGCCTCCAAGCCAAAGATGTTTTTATTTCCAAAAGAGAGATAATAATGCTGCTTTAATGGGGCTTTTGTGAGGACTACACAAGGCACACGTGTGGAACATGGCTCATTGGTTTCCCCATATCCTTTCTCCCAGAGTTGTACAGCCTGAGCCTGCACAGGCTTTCCACCCAACAACTCCACGGCCCCCTGGGAGATAGTCGTGGTCATGTGCTGCTTCCTGCTCAGTGGATGGCTATTTCTAGATTGTTTCAGCAAAAAAGAAACAAACATTTCTCTCAGTGAGGCCACTGTTTTAGAGGTTTCTTTGGTACAGGGTAGCTGTATCCTAACTGATAAAATGAGCATGCTCTATCTGAATACACACATTCAAATACAGTCCAGTTTCATAGATTACCCAGTCATCCTTGAGAAAAGCAAGTAACTGTGGACCAGAGAAGCTTCTTGGCCACCGAATGCACATAATGATTCTTCTTCAAAGAAATACATTCTATTCTACAGCAACTGCTTTGCCTTTCTAATCTGCAAGCTTATAATTTATAAAAAAAACTTGGTTCATTTTATATTAACCTGGGATTTCTCATCTGCTATTCTCAGTTAAAAAAAAAGCACTTAGTTCTGTATCACATCACAATAAAGCAATTATTTACAGATTTAAATTAATATTAAGACAACAAATGAAAGTAATACATAGGATTCAACTGTTTCAGGCACAGTTGGAAAAAAATACAGTATATAAACATATTCAAACTCAAATATACACTGGTTGCAGGTGAAGTTTTACACAGTAGGCATAACAAACAAAAGGAGCATATAAACAAGAAAATGATACCATCTTACAACAGCACCATGAAAAAGTTTTGGCTGAGAGTTTGCCAAAAGGTCTATCCTGAGATATTTCAAGGCCAACTTTTCACATTTATGCAGTGCCGTTCGAAGTAAACATGTCCTCACAATTGCTTTTGTTTGGAGAGAGGCTGATGTGAGATGACGGACGCTTGGTTTGCAGCTATTTTGTACTGTTCTTGTCCAGAACCTTGGGGTGGGGAAGGGAGTGGTGTTTCTGGAGTTGCTGAAACAAACAAACATAGAATTGTCTGTGATGGTAGTGGTTAATGTGCCTTTGCCCGTGAAACCCCACACAACTCCAACATACACTTGTATTTTTTGACACATTTAAAAATTATCTTACATCCCACAATGAGCTACATCATGCATTATCAGTCTGTCGACATACACTGAATAGGCAATTTCACTCTGCTCCTCAAATAACATTAAGCAGGAATAGGTCACTGTAAGGTGTCATTTGGTTTCTCAATAGCATTTGTGAGCATTTGAGTTGCTAACAAACCCAGGAAAAAGGAGTTAGTGAAAAGAATGAATAGACTGTTAATGATTTCAAATGTTTCAAAGCAAAATATACTTTTTAGATAATCAACATGCATGAAAAATAAAAACATATTTGGTGTGGATTCCATTAATTTAGACACATTAGATGACATAAAAAATTAAGGTTAAAATACTTTGTAAGTGTTTTGATATCTAAGCTACAGTCAAAGGCATCTGAAAAATGCTGGTCTTGTTTTTTCAGTATTATGCTATTACAATTGATAGCTTGCCTGTCCTCTCCCCATCAATGTAAAAAGTAAGCCTGAAAAAGTGAATAGAAAGTAATTAAATATTTTAAAAAATTGTGTTGAATATAAGATACAATTTGAATAGTTCATTGTCCAGAATAGTATTTCCTCCTATTATAAACCCTTACCATGTAATTATATAATTTATTAGATAATTAATATGTTTAAAAACTTGAAATATTTTAGTACTTATTATTCCATATATTGAGCAGAATAGATAAAAATTTTAATCAGGATAATTAATTTTATTATTTTCAAATGCAGTTTATCAAAAGAATATAAAAATTTGCCTTTAAAATTATTTGTAGATATTTATAATGGACCTAGAATCACACTAGCCTTTTCTAAAAGACAGACAAAATATGCATCATCTTAGATTTTTTTATTCATGTGTTTAATGTCTTGTTTTGCATAAAATATAAACTATTCCAGATGAGCACAAGCAACACCAAGTTTTCTGTTACAAATGATTCTCATAAATGTTTTGTTAAAAGAGGAAAAATAAAATTAAAAAGTGTGATAAAGTGATTTTTAAAAGATTAGGGCTAGTAAATATATTTTTTAAAATCATAGAACACTAGCACTTACAAAGTGAGGGATTCAAGTGCCAGCAGTATTGTCAGACTCTCCCATTGATGCCTACAATACTTAATGCATTGTCCATGTGTTTATTTTCTGAATTTATGAATAACTGTTCCCTGAGAAACACAATTCTGATATGGTATTGGGCTTGTCTCTCTCACTGTTCTTGACTATCTGGTAAATGAAAATGGTAACATTTACTTTGCAAGGATGGTTCCAAATTAACATCATTCAAATACTCATGATTAAATACATCAGATTATTTCCATAATTTATGCTTTTTATTATTAATTTCCTTTCTGCTTCTCTTAGAAACTCAAAGAATATTGTTGCATACACAATTTACAAAAACACACTCCAGGCCTTGTTTTTTTTTTTTTTTTTTTTTTTAATTTTTTGACAGGCAGAGTGGACAGTGAGAGAGAGAGACAGAGAGAAAGGTCTTCCTTTGCCGTTGGTTCACCCTCCAATGGCCGCCGCGGTCGGCGCGCTGCGGCCGGCGCACCGCGCTGATCCGATGGCAGGAGCCAGGAGCCAGGTGCTTTTCCTGGTCTCCCATGGGGTGCAGGGCCCAAGCACCTGGGCCGTCCTCCACTGCACTCCGTGGCCACAGCAGAGAGCTGGCCTCCAGGCCTTGTTTTTAAAGGGAAGCATGACAGCGTCCATCTCACTGGTCTCTACTTTCTCTCATGCTCAAGCAGTCAGGTGGAAATCACAAAACTGTTATTGCATAGCAGGGAACATTTAGGTAAAGCAATATTGTAGCTAGATACTAACATTTATTGTGAATTCAATAGGCAACACTAGTATGCCTTTTGGTTGCAACACAATAACTCTAGTCATCTCAGGGAGTTGGTTGGTTTGGTGTTCTGAGGCAATGGAGGCAAATATGAGATTAGCCAATAAAATTCAGAAGCAATGAATTAATTCTAGATATTTTGTTAGATAATTAGAGATTTTTAGCACCAGGGTAGCTTGAATAGACTTTGCACTAAAACTCCAAATAATATGTGATTAATTTAGCTACTAACAACCCCTAGGGTACATAGAGCTTTATGAGTTCCAAGGAGTTTCACTTTGCCTAGTTCTTGTATGCAGGAATCCAGATAAAAGTCTTAGTTGAATAGCACTAGTCTTGCAACAATGTAGCGCAATTTCATCAGGATTACTCACAAATAACTGCGAGCTAACTGCATAAATAACACCTCCATCTATTAGTTCAGCCAACGACTTCCAATGGAAGGAAGACCTTTCTCTCTGTCTCATTCTCTCTCTCACTGTCTAACTATCTGTCAAACAAATAAATAAAAAGATCCAAATGTTTAAAAAAAATGTAAATGAGAAATCAGCTGAGTCCTGGAAGTAGCTGACCATGGGTATTTGACACTGCCGCTATCTGAGTCACTAACTGTGCAGCCAGGAACAGTGAAGGAAGACATGTCCACATCAGTGACAAAACTGGCTGTAATGAAAAGGATGCAGCTATCCCAAAGGAATTAAAACCAGCCAAAAAGATCACAATAAACGCATTCATAGATATTTTGGGACACTGAAAGTACAAAGACGGAAAGGTTGAAAGCTAACAAACTTTCCAAGGAGTAAAATTCATCAGGCCATAGACCAAGATGCTCATATCTTACTGTAAGTTACAGAAGGAGACCAGCTCTGTTCAATTTCCCAGATTTTTTACATGAAAATAATACACTTTAATGCTCAGTGTTTCTAATGTTTCAAATTACAGTACACTAAATAAATATTAGGATTATTACTTCCTCAATTTCTCTACATACATATATATATAATCTATAGTTTAATAGAGTTCTTAATGTTTGGAGAAACATCTGAAAAGTTTATTTATTTTCAGTTTTATTTGAAATGCAGAGAAATAAAAAGCTCCCAATCCACTGGTGTAGTCCCCAAATGCCCACCACAGTTGTGGCTGGGCCAGGTCAAAGTTAGAAGCCTGAAACTCAGTCTAGGTCTCATATAGGGGTGGCAGAGTCCCAGGTATCTGAACCATCAGCTGTCACCGCCAAGGCTGTGCACTGGTAGGAAGCTGGATTAGAAGGGGAGGAGCTGGAATTGGAACCAGGAGCTCTAATAAGGGATAATGGTATTCTAAACATCTTAATAGCTGCACCAAATGTCTATCCCCTTGATAAGCATTTTTACAGGCCATAAACAATCATACTTTTCCCATGATTATTGATTTTTGTATGATTTTAGCTTGCATGGTCATTTTTATGGTCCCTTGCCAACATGCAAATCTAAGACAACCTGTGCATTCTTTTGTGCTTCCAAAACCTATGAAGTAGAACATTTTAAGATCTCATGCCTAATTAATGAGTAGCTGAATATCACTATGCCCCATAGTTGAGTCATGGAGAGTACATTCTATCCTGTTTCTACAATTTCTGGGTAATAATGGATTCTTCCCTGAATTCCACTTTTTCTCAGTTAATTAATTTAAGAAATATATAGTGGAAAAGTATCCCAGATACTTACAGATCTGGTCTGTGTGAACCAGGGTTGACATGGGACCTAAAAGTATTGTTTGTCCAGTTAATGGATCTTGAGACAAATGTGGATGCATTGGGTGATGGAGATGGCTACCATCATTGGAAGCACCTACAGAAGATAAGAAGACACTTGCATGAGTGGTAATGTAACCAGAACGGCAAGTTTACCTGGACATGAATGTTGATAGAAGTTTGAATATTGCTATTTTTGCCAAGTGCTTTTTGAGAATTCAAAAATAAGTGCACAGAACCACTGCCATAACACGGACCATGTCAACTTTCACTGCACATTGGCTAGATTAATGTTGTTTCATATTTTGCTGTATATTAATAATGGAACGTATATGCTATTTCCTGGAATCATTAGGCTTGCTGCCTGTTGTTAAGGCAATTCCAAGAATCACTTACCTTAAGTTTATAGTATTTGGGATCACCCTAATAGCATGAACAACTTTTATTTCACAAAGATATCATTAGGAACACATTAAGCACCAGAAACTCAAAAATAATGCAGTGATTTTACAAGGAAATTTAATTTACATCAGAACACAAAATAAATGGTTTCTTAGCTTATTTCTGACATTTATTGGAGCACTGAAATCTAATTTTCCCTGTCTACTGTTTTGTATCAATTATCTCAAGACAACACATTCATTTTTAAGTTATTTACTACTCAGGCTATGTTGCAATTCTAATATTCATAAGATTTTAAAGCAGTCAGGGCATTAAAAAATTAATACATTTCAAGAGGTCTTTAAAACAGGAAATACACTTCTATTTATCATATTTGGAAGGATCTGAATGTAGGCTTAAGGGCTCTGTGGGGTAAAGATGGTGGATTAATAAGAACGGAGACTTGAGCCCGTTCAAATTTTTTGTCTCCCTCCAATAGGTTTTTCAGACTTTCTAAATATTAAAAATTGAGTTATCATATCATGGCAGAACAAGATAAAAGGCAGAAAAACATGGCACATCAAAAGATGAAAAATACGTGAACCAAAAAATAGGTCAAATTTACTTTAATGTATTTAGTATGATGTCAATTGATGAAATAGAAGTTCATAAACATACTCACCACCCAGTAACATTTCCTGAAGGAGGTTGTCAATTTTGACCATCCCAAAAAGTTTCACAAACTGTATTTGCTCAATCATTTGCCAGGTGATGCTTTGCAGTGTGGGCAGAAGCAGCAGCAGTTCTCCAAACCTCCCCCGAGAATCATACTGCCGATCATTGATATAGTCCTCCAAGCTGATCTGCACTTGGAATCGCATGTTCTTAATTTTCACTGGGTCACTCAGCCCTTTGGCATCTAATAAAGGGGGAAAAGGGACAATCTGAACACTTAATCTCATCAGAGTGTGAAACCAAATATTCAAATACAGAAAAAGTTTCATTTTCATTATATTAATTTTAATGGAGTTTTGAAAACAAACCTGGGTCAAAAAACACAATTGCCTTCAAACAAGCATATTCGTTGTCATCAATCTGGATTTCTTGAAATGGTCGAACCAGCTCATCTAGGACCCGATTGGCCACACGGCTGATCTCAACTTCACAGCTGTTGCGGTGAATTACATAGTTGTTTCCTAGGGTGCAAAGCAAACACACAAGTTAACCACCTCCCCTCAAAAACTATCAAGCCTTGTTTACACCTTTACAGAACAACAATCAAAACGGAACAGTGATAGTATTTCTTCTCTCAGTAGTTACTTTAGAAAACCTTAAGGATACTTAAAGGATCAATAATATTGATAATGTGATCACATGCATTTTAACAGTCTCCGTCACTGGTGATAATACCAAAGTACAGACTAATAACGAGCTAATAATTGACAAGGGCAAACCAACATGTAATGATTAGCTTTCCTCCATGTCAGTCATCCATTAGTGTCTTACTCATTAACGGGCGTAACACAAATCCTAAAGAATCTTTGTTATTTATAGTGGATTAAACAGCTCTCCTTTGATGCTTAGGCAGATGAAGGAGTGAAAACTGAGACAGGGCTTTAACAAGCCTAAGTAAAGGAAGCCGATGTGAAAAAATAAAAATAAAATAGCATGTGTATTCTCATGAGTTGCTCATTAGATATTCCCTCTTCCTGGATTTCTTTAAACAGATGAGTGATGAACACTTAAGGAGCTACATTCAAGACAGTTAAGAAATTAGAGCACTTGGTCAACTACTCCCTGTAGTTCTTTCTAATTTAGATATTCTCTGGCTATGATACAATAATTACTTATTGTACTTTCCTTTTTATTTTTTATTTTTATTTATTTATTTTTTTTGATAGGCAGAGTTAGACTGTGAGAGAGACAGACAGAGAGAAAGGTCTTCCTTTGGTTGGTTCACCCCCCAAATGGCCGTCACTGCCAGTGTGCTGCGCTGATCCAAAGCCAGGAGCCAGGTGCTTCCTCCTGGTCTCCCATGCAGGTACAGGGCTCAAGCACTTGGGCCATCCTCCACTGCCTTCCCAGGCCACAGCAGAGAGCTGGACTGGAAGAGGAGCAACCGGGACAGAACCGGCGCCCCAACCAGGATTAGAACCCAGAGTGCTGGCACTGCAGGCGGAGGATTAGCCAAGTGAGCCGTGGCTAAGATAGAAGCTAAATTGCTATTTTCCATTTTCATGAAAAGCAAAATATTTTCAATTCTTTCACTATATGCAAAAGACAATCTTTGAAGTAAGAATATGTCCTAAAAGATTTATTCAATGTAGCCTAACTCCTTTCCCCAGATTTATTGAGGTATGATGGGCAAGGTAGTATAGATACATAAAGTGCACAGTGTGATGTTTCAATATACATATACAATGTGAAATGATTACCAAACTAATTAACCTATCCATCATCTCACAGTTCCTTTTTCTCTCCTTGAGCCTCACTCTTTCTTACTGGAAATTACCTATCCTAATGTTTCAATTTGAATGACATAGGAGACTATTATAGTTATGTTGCAATCAGATTTATGAAGAAAGAAATGTTTGAAATGTTTACTAGAAAGGCAAGAAAGGTATTTAATAAGGATTTCAGTGCACAGTCTCTGCAGTCAAATTATGTGGTTTAGAATCTTGGCTCCACTCTCTCTTAGCTTTGTGACCTCAGATAAAAGTTCTCTGTCCCCATTTCTCCACTTGCAAACTGGACTGAAAATAATAGTATTCATCCCTTAGCATTCTAGAAATTAAAGTAGAAAGGATGTACCTGTAAAACACTCAGAGACACATACTTACATAGTAAGTCCTCAATCAATACCAGCTATTGGTATATTATGTTCTGCTTATTTAAATTTAGAGCAAAAACATCTATCAATGAAATAAAAAAATCTCATCATCATTTTATACAAGCTAGTAATCATTAGAAGGAAAGTAATCCTAAAAATCTAATTTGATGAATTTAGTAAAATGAGGATTTAAGCAATTAATGAAGCTTTTCCCTCATGTTTTTCCCACTTGATATCCTACTTTTGTTTCTTCCAGAACAAATTTTTCAGACATTGCCACCAAATTTTTTTTTTTTTACAGGTAGAGTGTACAGTAAAAGAGAGAGACAGAGAGAAAGGTCTTCCTTTTGCCATCGGTTCACCCTCCAATGGCCGCGGCGGCCGGCGCACCGCACTGATCCAAAGGCAGGAGCCAGGTGCTTCTCCTGGTCTCCCATGGGGTGCAGGGCCCAAGCACTTGGGCCATCCTCCACTGCACTCCCGGGCCATAGCAGAGAGCTGGACTGGAAGAGGGGCAGCCAGGACAGAATCCGGCGCCCCAACCGGGACTAGAACCTGGTGTGCCGGTGCCGCTAGGCAGAGGATTAGCCTAGTGAGCCGTGGCGCCGGCCCACCAAATTTTTTAATTGGTTATTTTGTAGCACATCAAGGACAATGACATCATAGCAGATAAAAATGTTCCTTAAAAGCACATAAACTAATTCATTAAGCAGACACTTTGAAGTGTGAAAAAATTTTGGGACCACAAAAGACAATCAGATACATTACTAACTCTTTGTTCCAATGCAATTTAAACAAACTTCAATACTATGTTTATTGAGCAATCTTTCCTTTTTTTAAAGAAAAAGATTTACTTATTTATTTACTTGAAAGGCAGAGTGACAGAGAGATAGAGAAAGAGAGGGAGAGACAGAGAGAGAAGGAGAGATCTTCCATCTGCTAATTCATTCCTCAGATGGCTGCAATTGCTGGAGCTAGGCCAATCCGAAGCCAGGAGATAGGAGGTTCTTCCAGGTCTCCCATTTGGATGCAGGGGCCCAAGTAATTGAGTTATCTTTCACTGCTTTCCAAAGTGCATTAGTAGGAACTAGATCAGAAGTACAGCAGCTGGAACTCAAACCAGAGCCCATATAGGATGCTCCTGCTGCCGACGGCTGCTTAACCCGCTAGGCCAAAGTGCCGGCACCATGATCTCTCCTTGTTATTAGGAAATTTTGATGTTCTGTAATCATATCATTGTACTCTGAACTTAACACAATCAAGGCAAGGAAAAACAGGAGCAAGTCAAACACAATTAATCAAATTTGATGTGTGAAGTAAGGGCACCATGTGACAATGCTTATGAATGCTTTGTATGTACAGAATAGATCCTGCTTGTTATTGTAAGGACGAAATATGCATAATTTTTCTTAAATTAAAAAAAGCTTACCCAAAAGCAATATATCTTTATACATCATGGATCTCTTTGTAGCTCCAAGCAGTAAGTGTTCCCCCGCGTGAGCTCTCAACAGTGCCACCTTAATGAAAGATTCCAAGTTTAGCAATTAATTATAAAATATAATGATTAAATGATGGCATAATTCAAGTCTGATTAACTTACAGTGCTCTTTTAAGCCTGGGACTTTTTAGTTTTAACAAACTATAATACTCATAGATCCTCACCATATTAAGCCTTCTAGTTTTCTATCTTATCATGTCAAAAGAGTTTACACTTCAAAATTTCTAAAATTGCCTAAGAAATCAATACAACGGCAGCAGAAAAAAATGCAGAGCAGTTAACTCTTGGAGGGAAACAGAATCAGGCAGATAAGAGGTCAAATACCCACTTAGTCACGAACTACATGTTTAACCTTGTGTAAATTAACCAGTGTATTTGGGTCTGATTTGTTCACATCTATAAAATAGGAGTAACAATAAAAAGAAAACTCACTGTATTTATGGAGACTAAATGATAAAATACACATAAAACATAATCCTCTGACCATAATAAACAAAGGCAAGATGAGGACTTGTAGTGGGAAACGGATAGAGGTCTGGGTTCCACAACTCCAGATAGAACCTCTGAGTGTGCAGGAAGCTCTCAGTTGAGCTTCATTCATATTCTCAATACCGGCTGGAAATCACCACTGGGAGGCATAGGAAGCATTCCACGTCCAACACATACCAAAGTCATGCTTCTCCAACATCTTTGTCATCTTAGTAAACAGTACCATTATCCAAACCGTGTGTTCATATCTAAACAGAGCCTACTTTGAGTCCTCTCTAACTCTACAATAAACCCCATTGCTACTTCTCACATTAGAAGCCAAACAGAAGCATCACTCTCTATTGCCATGGCTACTATTCAGGTCCAGGTTCCTAGACAACCACAACACATTCAGTAGGTATTCTGGCTTTCTTACTAGTTCTTCCATCCTAAATCCTCTTGACGGAGCTTTCATCTTGATATTTGCAAAATAGTAATCACTTAATATCACATCTCTGCTGAAAACTCTTCAACGGTTTCTTGTCCTTAGAATATGATCCAGAGTCATCAATCATAGCTGCTGGGGTGATGGGAGGTGTGGGGGAGGGTTTGATACTTTAACCTCTCACCCGCCGTGTCTCTTGACTTCATCTTGCGACACCCTCTCCTAGCATGACTCAGAACTTTAGAACATGCTGTTCCTGTGCCTGGAATGCTTTCTCCTACTATCATGGTGTGCTTAGGTCCCTTGTTGTTCAGGTTGCAGGGCCTATTTTCCCTGATGGCTACTTGGAAGTATCCTTTCCATTCCACCCCAAGCATTCTCCAACAATTCATCCTATTCCACGTTATAGCATTTTACAGAACCTATCTCCACCCAGAATTAACTTTCTCATAATTTGTTTATTATTTATTGTGTGTCTCTCCTAAATTTCAAATTTTATGAGAATGTTGAAGCAATCTTTCTTTAGTGCTGAATACCCACAAACAATAAAACTCAACAGCAGTCTCCCGATAAATGTTTGTTTGATGAATTTACTGAATGGATTCCATTTCACCAATGCAGGATTCTATTTCATAGATGGTAAAATGGAGATAATAATACCTGTGCCACAGAGCTCCCCAGAGAATTAAATAAAATAATATAATTTATAGTGCAAGCAAAAGTTAATTCCCCAGGGCATTACCCATAATAGACACTCATTAATCATGGTTGTTAATGTACACTGTTAATATTAAAATATCAGTTAGCAAATAAAAACTGTTTCTGACTGGTTACTGGATTTCAGTTTCCCAATTCTTAAATCATGTCTTCATACATAAGTCAGCAACTTCTAAAGAGTGATAATAAAAATATAAAACTGATAAATAACATAACCCTACTTATATTGCTTGGGGTGAGACTGGTAAGTTTTAGCAATTTAGCATTATTCACTCTGGCATAATCTTCTGAGCCAAGCTATCTTTACGATATGTCAATAACCATGACTCAGACCAGGAAGGCAGTTACAGAACATTTTAAGAATGATTTCAGACTTCACAGTATTTTTTTTTTTTCCCTGTCACCAGGTGAAATGCTCCCTTAGAAATAAAACTGCTAACTTCTTAGGAGTGTTTTTTTTTCTGGTTGTGCAAACATTTTGTCCTTCTTTGATTTTTACACAGCCATGCCCTTTCCCCTGTGGTTGTTTCTTTGTTTTTGTGTGTCAGTGATAACGAACGCTGGTCAGAGGGTGTACAGATGTATACCATATATCACATCTACCAACGGTAATTCAATATGGCAAAAATTGAAGCTTTCTAACGACTTTCATCTATAAAAATTACATAAGACAAGTTCAAAATGAATCTGAATCTTCATAGACTAATTGGAATTCAAGTCCTAATTATGAATTAAAATGTCTTAATACCTGTGACAAAGTACAAAGACATCTGTATTAGGAAACAATCACAAGATCTCTATTTTTCTGATGATTTCAGATTGTGATTTCCCAACCTTTCTTGCCAAAACTAATATTTTTATTCGATAAACGCTAGAATAAAATTGTCAACATGAAAGGTAAAACTTCTGCTAACTGCATAAACTGCTTGCCAAGACACCAACACATCTTGTATAGTGTCTGTCCAGGAGTAGCCTGGTATTGCTGAGGAATTTTTACAGCACCTGCGGGAAGCACCAAGACACACCAGTGCACCTTTTGCCTCCCAGAAATTTACTCTTCCAATACTTTCTCTCACAATGGTAGTTACTGTCAATCTTGCTCTCACATAAGCTTTTTAAACTCCAAGAGGGCAGATCAGTGTCTTGTTCAACTCTTTTCCAATCAATAAGTTTGCTAGAGCCCTAAAATACAAGTCAAACAATAGTGCCCCTTGTCAAGAAAATATATGGAAAAGAAAACCCAAACCTTTTCTCTTATGATAATTTATCCCTGGTCAAATAAAGTAAATTTACTACAAATATAATTAGGCTGGCGCCACGGCTCACTAGGCTAATCCTCCACCTTGCAGCGCCGGCACACTGGGTTCTAGTCCCGGTCGGGGCGCTGGATTCTGTCCTGGTTGCCCCTCTTCCAGGCCAGCAATCTGCTGTGGCCAGGGAGTGCAGTGGAGGATGGCCCAAGTCCTTGGGCCCTGCACCTCATAGGAGACCAGGATAAGTACCTGGCTCCTGCCATTGGATCAGCGTGGTACGCCAGCCGCAGCGCGCCGGCTGTGGCGGCCATTGGAAGGTGAACCAACGGCAAGGAAGACCTTTTTCTCTGTCTCTCTCTCTCACTGTCCACTCTGCCTGTCAAAAACAAAACAAAACAACAACAACAACAACAACAAAAAACAAATATAATTCAAAGGACACAAATGCTTAGTACAAAAACGTTTCTTTAAAAAACATACAAACACACACAATTTCCTTAACCTATACCTGATCATCCAGTGGTAACTCACAGAAGGCAGGAATATATTTAGCCCATTCCACCAGAACTAAGAGCTGCTGCTTCATAGACTCACAAACATCACCAATACCTGCAATTTTCTTAACATTTATGTCAGTGCTTGCCCCTGGGCTGGGGACTGAGATCTAGGGGTAAGAAGAACATAATATTAATTCGTCATCTAAGATAATACATGGAAAATCTCTTTTTTATTCCTATGGCTATGATAAGAAAACACAGCTGAAGCAGGCATTTGCATTTTCACAGTGTTTTGAATCATACTAAAATATGACTTTTAGCTGAGAAATAGCATACTTTTCAACTTAGAAATTAAGGTGAAAACATTCAATATGCAGCTTCATGCTCTGGGAGCAGTATCTTGTTTTCTGGTCAAGTTTGCAAATAAATTTACCACAACTTCTGGGGAATTTCCTAATTCAAAATGGTTTCTATATGCAATAGGCTTTATGGCTCTGTTTTTCATTAAAAAATGGAATTTCCATTAAGGAAGTACACTTTTAGTGTGCTGAAGTTTGTGAGGAAAATATTTGCAGCTTATAAAATTTGCTCAACTAGGAAGAAAAGTTTTAGACAGGAAATCAGAACTACTGAGTTTAGTTGCATGACAAGGAAGAGCATCAGAATAAAATCAAGAAACCAACTGTTGACTCAGCAATGCTGAAGAGATTAACACACAAGGATAAATTTTTAAAACTATAATTATGAGATCTGCAAAACTATAAATGGTGCTTAAAAAACTTCTCTGCTACTCTACTTAAAAGTTTTTATAAATTTAATTTTTGAAGATGTGTGTGTGTATGTGTGTGTGTTGAGTGTGTGTGTGTTTATGTGTATCTGTATATTTTCCCACAACTCCCTTCTAAGTCATTCTCTAAATGGTGCCAAAGTCTTTTATAAAGTTGGTCATCAAAAAATTTCAAGCTGACAAAGGTGATGTTAACCTCATCATATGATGCCTTGGTTTTTAAAAATGAAAGTCATATCGACTCTGTAGAATCTGATTAACTACCTAGCTGCTTCACAATTGACTTTGTAATAGAAAAATATCATTGGCATTTCTAATGGGGCAAGGCTAAAATAAACGGCTTTCAGTGAATTTCTTTGTCTCCTGTTTGAATATATAATGAATGACTTACTTTTTAAACTTTAAAACTGATATTCTAGAAAAAACTAAAGTAAAAGATCACTTTTTCTCATGTTTTCTGAATTTTGGCACTTCATTAAAAAAAATCTATTTCCAAAGCAGGTATCAAGGTGACTTGAAATGACTATAAGTCATTTTCAAGGAAAGAAACCTTGATGACATGTCTTAACCCAACTGTCTGAAGGTCATGGTCTCTGATTTTACAGATTCAACCCATAAAATAAAATAACACCCCCAGGGCATCATGCAGGGCCTTTTTTCATCAACATAGTTTTTATTCTCAAGGAATTTTAGACTGAAATGCTCTTGAATTTTCCACTTAAAAATAGGATCTTGTCTCAAAAAAGTCAAAATTAAACCAGCTGCCCATTAACTCTCTCAAACAAAAAACTCTCGAATTTGTGTCGATGTGATTTATTCTAGTAACGAGTACCCTTGAATGAACCTAGATGAGTTCAGCTTTATTCCTAAACATAACACAGGGCTGGATGCCAGAGAGCAGCAGGTACCTGGCGAGAACGAACTTCAGCTTGTGCCAGGGTGTTAATGGAGGGAATGTTGCTGCCATCAAATGTACTTCTTCTGGTGCTTATTCTGTCGCGTTCATTTTGTACAGCTAAGGAAGAAAATGCCAGCATTTATTGGTCAGTTCTCTTTCATCTACCTCAGGTTACACACTTTGGAGTAAAAAAAAAAGTACAAAAAGTTAAGGAAGACTCTAGAACACGTTCATGGGGAAACAAGACTGACAATATCTTCATTCTGTGCCAGTTAGAGCTCTTACAATGCCACTGGTTGATACTTTGTGATGGCACACACACAGGCAGCACACCTGGCTGATGGTTCTGCCACACTCTGTGTTCAACCAAATGGTCTTCTCTTCACTCCAGGTTACTAAAACTGTAAGATAACTAGAAGCAAAGTATCGCCTATGCGATTGACCAGGTCAAAGATAAGAGTGTATTCACAGTTGGAAGGTGAGTCATAGATTTTGAAACCTGGATTTTCTTTTTCCTATAAAACCCTACCAAAACTGGAAAGTACATTTGTCTTACCTAAGGTGATTGTAAGATTGCAGTCTTATGATCTCTTAGGAAGCACTGTCCCTGGGAGAGTTTAGAAGCATTAATAATAATACTAATAATATAATAATAATAATAAAAGTTGCAGCTGTTTAAGGTCATTCTGAGAAGACTGAGATTTGAGGATCAGCATTTTGGACAGGTGAAGAAATCTTACAAAATATTTAAAAGTTTCTAAAACAGCATTATTGTGGAAGGCAAAGAATGAATAACATATATCTCCAAATCCCTTACTAAAAGCTATATTCTTAAACATTAAAAGTGAGAAAGAGTATGTTAACTACTTTCTTGTCATATAAAGAGTACATTGAGTCAGATGTTAAAGTTGTATTTTAAAACTTAGAAGGTAAAATTATCTTTTATTAATCAATGAAAAGGAAAACAAGATGTGGATACTCTAACTTATTTACATTAGTACTCTAATCTGTTCTGCTGAAAAGAAGACACATTAAACTAATAGATTTTTTTCTGCAGTTATTATTTTTAGTAAAGAAATACACCAATGCTTTTTTCTGAAATTTTATACTCTTACAAGGCATTCTTTTTTTTAAAAGATTTATTTACTTATTTGAAAGACAGAGTTACAGAAGCAGAGAGAGAGACAGAGACAGAGACAAACAGAGATAGAGACAGAGGTCTTCCATCCACTGGTTCACTCTCTAAATGGCTGGAATGGCCCAAGTTGGGCTGATCTGAAGCCAGAATCCTAGAGCTTCCTCCAGGTCTACCACATGGATGCAGCGGCCCAAAAACTTGGGCCATCTTCTACAGCTATCCCAGGCCACAGCAGAGGGCTGGATAGGAAGTGGAGCAGCGTGGACACAAATCAGCACCCACATGGGATGCCAGCACTGCTATACCTTAGTGCCAACCCCTGAAATCCAGCAATTCCCATGCCGAAATCTAGGGAGAGACCCAGAATTGCTGGCCATCAACTGCATTAAGACTTGTGTCTTTAAGATGAAGTGAATGGTCTTTAAGTTGGAGTGAATCATTAATATTTTATTTTAAAGTCATACTTATTGATAGCTTGCACTTTTGTTTTAACAGAAATTTTAGTGATTTACAACTTAAACTGATTCATTTGGAAACGCATCTATAGAAATTAAAAATCAACATGTTATCTTTGCTTTTATGAATTAATGTACATGATCAGACATTAGAAAGAGATTAAGACATTGTCAACATTGGTAATCCTCTTATTTTTATCAATGTAATTTAATGTTTATATGTTTAATCAATCTTGATACTGTTATTACTAAAAAGAAGAGAAATATATCAACTTTGAAACTCAAATGTTACTCTGTATTATCTTTAGAAAAATTATTGCATTATTTCTAAAGACATACTTATTTATTTGAAAGGCAGAGTAACAAAGTAAGAGGGAGAGAGAGATCTTTCATCCATTGGTTCATTCCCAAAGTGGCTGCAGTGGCCAGGGATGGGCCAGGCTGAAGCCAGGAGCAGGAACTTCTGGCTCTCGCACATGGGTACAGGGGCCCAAACACATGGGCCTTCCTCCATTACTTTCTCAGCCTCATTATCAGGAAGCTGGATTGGAAATGAAGCAGCTAGAACTGGATCTGGCACCCATGTAGGATGCCTGTACTGTAGGCAGCAGCGGAACCTGCTATGCCAAGACACCAGCCCCACATTATTTCATAAAAAATTATAACTTCACTAGTTCTGACATAATTTCATTTTATAATTATAAACTCATAAAGGAAATATATGCGCATGATTTACTTGCAATTTTAGGGTAAAAATGAAGTTCAAGTGAAGATGGATGAAAACAATTTAAAAGCATGTCATTAACTCTATAAGCTACCAAATGGATATTTTTATATTAGAAATGCCATTTTTGGAATGAAAAAGTATTTTTTGTAATTTTACAGACTTTTTTTGCCAGCCTTTTTGAGATTAACAACCTTAGCAAAACCATTGGAATGTTTGTATTTTTAGCATATTGAAGGACAAAGAAATAAACTAGCTATATTTCAGTTGGATTTGGTATATTTTTATACTTCTGTAGTATCATGATTTAAATTGAATTTTTAACTTTGTAAACTAGTTGTGCAAAACCACTAAATATGATATGTACAGGGATACAGCAAAACTAATAGGTATCAAATATTATAGCTGCTGGACCCTGCCAAAGATTTAGAATGTGTTCAACATGTTTATTTGTAAATTAACCATTTTTAGAATGTAGAAGAACATACTCAGAGTTTTTAATATTTCAAAATGGAATTAGCACACATTAAATTAGTGCACTTAGTTGAGCTGATTATATTCAATAGAATAACAACTCTCTAAGGGAATGTGATTTTTTCTATTATGCTCACTACTGAAACCTCAGTACCTAGCTCAGCATCTGGAAAGTAGCAGTGCTCAATAAACATTTGTTAATTGAATTAATGCTTGAAAAATAGAGCTAGTATTCATGAAACAAAGATATTAAATTGTTGTGAATATAAAATGTGTTTAAAAACACACGCATACTGGGGCCAGCACTGTGGCGCAATGGGTTAACACACTGGCCTGACGCGCCGGCATATCATATGGGCACCTGTTCAAGACCGGGCTGCTCCACATCCGATCCAGCTCCCTGCGATGGCCTGGGAAAGCAGTATAAGATGGCCCAGGTCCTTGGGCCCCTGCACCTGAATGGGAAACCTGGAAGAAGCTCCTGGCTCCTGGTTTCAGATCGGCGCAGCTCCGGATGTTGCGGCCAATTGGGGAGTGAACCAGCAGATGGAAGACCACTCTCATTCTCTGCCTCTGCTCTCTCCGTGTAGCTCTGACTTTCAAATAATAAATAAAATAAATCTTTAAAAAGAAACACATGCATAAAGTGTTAGTCCAATAGATTATATTATTAATCTTTTGACAGGACACTGGAATGGTGTTTAAGACTAATTATATAGCCAGGAATAGCACAAAGGTGGAGAGAATCGTGTCTCTATGGAGTGGTCACCCCACACACTAGCTGGACACTTTTGAGCTAAATTTTTTTTTTTGACAGGCAGAGTTAGACAGTGAGAGAGAGAGACAGAGGGAAAGGTCTTCCTTCTGTTGGTTCACCCCCCAAATGTCCGCTATGGCTTGCATGCTGTGCCGATCCGAAGCCAGGAGCCAGGTGAATCTCCTGGTCTCCCATGAGGGTGCAGGGCCCAAGCACTTGGGCCATCCTCCATTGCCTTCCGGGACCACAGCAGAGAGCTGGACTGGAAGAGGAGCAACCAGGACAGAATCCGGCGCCCCAGCAGGGACTAGAACCCGGGGTGCTGAGACCTCGGGTGAAGAATTAGCCAAGTGAGCTGCAACGCCGGCCTGAGCTAAATTCTTTAACACAAGGAGCCAAATATTCTCTCATTAATACACTGAGGAAAATCAGAACTCATGTAAAAAGATTATTATGTTTAATTAGTATGTGTGTATATCAATAATATTCTCATCATCATTATTACTATATTACCTTCTTTTTTCATTCCTGCTCTAAAACATTTTCTTAATCGACAATATCTACATTGATTCCTTTTGTCCTTATCAACAACGCATTGCCGACTGAACCTATAACATCAAACAAAGATATATTAGTTTGCAGAAAATTAGCATTTATCAAAAAGCAAATAAACAGACAAATGGTCTTTAAGTAATAGTCAAATATGGCTCAATAGGAAGAATGATCTGTATGTACATGGAAATATAAGCTTGACGTCTCAGGCAATCTTATAATGAGATTAAAAATGAATGAACTCTAATTTTTGGATAGTATACATGATCATTTCTACCATGAGTCATGAAAACAAAATTTAAATTCTAGGTGCTTACTGTAAATAGTTTCACAATGGCCTGGATTACAGATCAGAACTTCAGTCCATTGCTTTGTCTCTTTTTCAATATTTTTTTTATTAATTTTAAACATTTAAAATATATTTCAGAATTTGTTTAAGAGACAGAAAATAAAACAGATATCTAGGGCGAGAGCTCCCATCCACAGATTCACTCCCCATAGACTTCGAAGGCAGGTGAGCCAAAAGTAGAGCTGGGAACAGGGCAATGTGGGTGACAGGAGCCTAATTACTTGAGACCTCAGTGTAGCCAGGAAGCTGGAGCCATAAGCTAGAGGCAGGTATCAAACCCATGTAGGACATGGGTGTCCCAACTACCAGCCCAAGCACCAGATCAATTTTAAATGCACACACATCACAGCCAACTGAAGTTCACTTTAAATCTCAAATTATGTATCGAGGACATTGAGAACAGCACTGTGACAACAGTCCCTACACAATGATGTACTCCATACCCATTAGAAAGATTGTAATTGAAAACAAAACAGAAAATACAAATATTGATGAGAATGTGGAAAAACTGGAACTCTCACACAATGCTAGTTAGATTATTAAATAATGAAGCTATTTTGGAAAAATGTTTGGCAGTATCTTAAAAATCTAAGCCCAGCCATTCCATGCTAGACATAAAGTCAAGGGAAATAAAACATATGAAGGTTCTTCAAAATGTTCAGAGAAAATGTATGTTGTGAAAAAAGATATGTTTGAATTTCAAAATTCTTGAGCAAAAATAAACTTTTTTGAATTAGATTTTTTCCACAAACTTTTTCAAGTACCCTCATATTTCCATGCACACACACACAAAAGCCTATACACAAGCGTCCATAGCATCAGTCACAAATAGCCAAAAAGTGGAGACAATCCAACTGCCCATCAATGAAGAATATCAAAATGAGGTATGCCCACACAAAAGAATATTATTATTTGTCAATAAACAGGAATGAGGTACTGATACATGCTACAATGTGGATGAACCATGAGAACATTCATCTGTTCTAAATTAAAGGAGTTAGTCCTCAAAGGAGTCCTCAACGGCCACATAGTGCATGGCCAGCTAGAAGAGACAAATCTATAGAATCACAAAGTAGATTGGAAGTGTGGGAGAGAACTGGGGGAAAGGGTATGAGGAGTGACTGCTAAAGACTAGTTCAAAGGTTGATGAAAATGTTTCAAATTGATGTAATGATAGTTCACAATTTGTGAATACACTAAGAAAGCTGAATTGTATACTTAAACAAATATACTCTCCCAAGTCTACCATTCACTGTTGATAGAACTCAGAGATGTTAAACAAGGTTAATTTGCAATTGTACAGGAAGGAGTAGGACTTGCCAAAAAATATTGTTGTGTGACTGTACTTTACAGATTTCAGAGCAAATATTAATCATATAGTAAGCAATGACATTTCTTTAAAATTATAACATAAAATGATCCCTTTGTATTAGTATGTCCCTGATCATTTGTAATTTATCATTAATAATGAAAATAAAAGAATATATTTTGTGAGCCATAGAAGAATATAGTTCCTCTGAAAAATATGAAGGGCCACTTAAAATTGAGTAAGAAGTAAAACTTACTGCAAATGAACTGAGCAACAACAGAGATGTGTTTTCTGGGTGAAGAAAAAGCATTGTTTGTTTAGAAATGCATGGCTAAGGAGACCAGAAAATACTAAGTAGATATTTGAAGATATCTGAAAGTTATATATTGTTTATTACACTAGAAAAAAAGAAATAGCACCATGCTGTAAGTTAACTTCTTCCCAAATGTCCAACTTGCTCTTAAAACAACTTAACAATTATATACATCCCTTTCAAAGATAAAATTTTCTGTTAAAATACATAATTTTTGTTAATAGTTCATATTCATTCTAGATGTATTCTGCATCCAAGAACTGATCAAATTGCAATATCTAAATCTAAAGTGTTATGATGTTGACTTGATATCATTAACAATAAAAACAGCCTACTAGAAATGTGTGGCACATATAGTTAAATGAGCTTTAAATAAAACATTTACATTTAAGGGCAAGAAAATGTTACATTAAAAATACATTTCAAACTGCAGGAGTCAAAAATTCACTTTTACTTGTTGACATCTTCAAGCTACCAAAATCACCTGCAGTTTTATAATTTTGTTTTACAAGATCCAGGATGTAATTACACTGAAAGGAAAGCCAATATACATAAAAATACACACACTGAGAAACCATTTAAATAAAGATTTTGAAATGTTTAGTGGTGTATGAACATGTGGTAAAACAATAAACACAAGGAAAAGATCGCCACCAAATTTCAGATAATAGTTACTTCTGGGAGAGAGAGGACAAAGAGAAAGTGACAGGGGAGGTGTCTAGTAGAAGCATCAGCTGTACTGACCTAACCGGGTAGTACACACATGAAATTTTTTACACGTACATATGCCTTTCATAAGTCTTAATGTTTCATAAAAGTGAACTACCTGTGTGAATGCATTGCGCATATATACCCGTGCATTTTTACCTTTATTGTGGCTTAGAGGTTTTGTTTATGAGTTATAGATATATGAAAGCTCTGAATTTTCTGCTGTTACCTCCTGCATGCCATTTTCCAACACATCTAAAGATTACTTTCCTAAAAGGCGCATTTCAGGTACCTGCAGGAATACACGTGACTCTTGCGTATGCTGCGTCTGAAGAAGCCCTTGCACCCATCACAGCTCGATGCCCCGTAATGTTTTCCTGTTGCTCTGTCTCCACATATAGCACATAAACAGTTGACGCCATTGTCTGTGGTATTCATACTTGTTGTCTCTGGGGCAGAACTATCTGTTGCAAAAAAAAAAAAAAAACAACAACAAAAAAAAACAAAGGAGTTTAGAGTGAGTACTGAGTATTTCTTTCATTTTTTTAAAAAAAGTATTTATTTATTTATTTAAAAGGTAGCATTACACAGAGAGGGAGGGAGAGAGGGAGAAAGAGAGAGAGAGCGAACGAGCGAGCACACTTCCATCTGCTGGTTCATTCCCCAGCTGGCCACAAGGGCCTGGACTGGGAGCCAGGAGCTTCTTTCAGGTCTCCCACATGGGTGGAAGGGGCCCAGTGAATTAGACCTTCTTCCACTGCTTTCCCAGGCACATTAGTGGAGAGCTGGCTGGATAGGAGGAGCAGCTGGGACTTGAACCAGCGCTCATATGGCATGTTGGTGTCACAGGTGGCTGTTTTACCTGCTTTTACACCACAACGCAGGCCCCCAAGTGCTTCTTGATTAAATTGTCCTTTCGATTACCCACAGGCTCACAAGAATCCATTCTTTGGCTTCTTGGAGTCCTTTCCTTTTTCATCACTAGTCGTCCATTCCAAACACCTGAATCCCATTTCTGTTCATTACATTTCAGGATACCATAAGGCTCAGTCCCCAGCTAAACTCTTTCCCAAAGAAAGTTCATCCAGTCTTATGACATTAAACATCATCTGTAGAATGAAAAGTCCTCAAATTGTATATTTTGTTCTAGTCTATCTTCCAGATGTCAGTCTGAAATGCCTAAGTATCTATTTTGAAGCACATGTAAGACTCATAAATTAATGTATCAAAAACAGAACTGTGATTTTTTTTAACCTATAACTTGTCTTCTTTTCAGACATTCCTATGTCAGTCCATGGCTTCATGCTGCACTATAGTCAGTAACCTGGGACTCTTTCTCAAATTATCTCCTTACCTTTATATATAATCCATTAATTAAGTACATATTTAACATACAAATGTAATCTATCACTTTTTACCCTTTCACTATGGCCAACCTTATTCAATCAAACACCATCTTACCTTGGCTTATTACAACAGTTTCCTATCTAATTTCTCTACTTGCACCCTTGCTCTTCCAGTGTTTGTTTATTATATCAATGCCACCAAAGTGATCTGGGTATAACAGATTTATATCCTATCACCATTCTGTGTCCAAGCCAGTCATAACTTGTCACTAGATACAGAATAAAGCCTTAGCACTTTACCATGGCCCATAAAGTCCTGAGGGATGAAGTCCCTGCTTGCCCCACCCCCTGCTCACAGATCTGTTACCACTTTTCATCCTGTTCACCACTCTCTAGAAATATTGCCTTTTTCTTTTCTTCTTTGAAGCCTCTTTACAGCTTGAACCTTTTGCACTTCTTGCCTCAACTGCCTGGAAGGAAAGTTATTTTCCTAGATTTCCTTGAGTTAGTGTCAGATTTCTGCTCAAACCACATTTTGTGGGAAATCTTCTCTTAAAACACTTCTAAAAGAGTCACCTCTAATCTGCCCCTAAAGTACTACCTAGAACCTTACTTATTTTTTAATAGCAACTTCATTGCCCAAAATATGTTATGTATTGGTTACTCATTCTTTACTCATCTTTACATATAGAATATTAATATTATGATATCAATGTATGTCTTATTCATTCCTTTGTTTTCCAACTCTTAAAGCTGTACTCAGCATAAATAGGCATCAAATACATGTTTTGAAGGAAGAGGCATTTAAAATACACTCAGATATTTTTACTAAGTAAACATTTCTTAATTGAGTTGATGTTGACATCTTAAAAATCCATATATACTCAAAATATATTGACTAAATATATGAAAATTTTAATTTATCAATTGTATAATATGAATTCTTATATTTGTAATATAAAAAATAAAAACACAGATTGTCATGTCCCAATTACATTCAGTGACATTATATATATTCTACTTCCTAATACCTCTGAGTAATCAAATATTGTCATACATAATTTCATAAACTTGGAACAAACTTTAATGAGAATATACTTAGAGTTAACTAGGTGACATTAGAGAATTTAAATGTTAAGAATTTTTTGGATAATATCAACAAAATAGATATTAGCAATATGGAAGTTAGAAGTGTTCGGAATTGGTTGAATTCTGGTAAATATAGGAACATATGAAAAGGTCGGCTTTAATGCTATACTTACATGTAATTATCAACATTATTCTATGCAAACAAATTAGATAGCACTTTGGAAATGGCCAAACAACTTAGCTATTATAATGTATTTGGTAAATATTTAAGGAAAATCTGTCCCAATGATTTAGCCGTTAACTTCTAGAGCCTTTGTTTTTGTTAAGTAATGATTCTATTGTGGCAAATATTCTGTTAAATATATCTAAATGATTTTTTCACACACACAGTAACATTCTTTACACAATCGATTCATTTTAATTCTATCTGTGCTAAAATTTCAGATTTCATTTTTGACAATTTTTAAAAACATCCCCCACCAATAAATTATTGCTTATTGGAACTATAACTAGAATACCAGTTACACAAATTGTTCGGCATGGTAGAATATAAGATATCCTAAGACTAAGATGTATTCTCAGTCTTGAACTAAACACATACACACATTCACAGAGAAACTTTCCAAAGTACACATAATTACTAGATGTTAGGAGTTCTAACAATTATAACTTATCTTGGACAAGAGTTTTACTTGGAATTCTTTAAGTCTGTAGTGAAATGTATTACATAAAGACACGAACCCTAAACAAGTCATGTCTTATTTAAAGTTAAACTGTTACAGTAGATAAATACCAAAAGCTCTGTGCAGCTAAACATTAGCTTGTCAAGTGAGGTTATAATATAAACCTTTACTTCCTTTCATATTGGTGTTCAATGCAAAAACTTGATAGTAATTTTAAATGCAATTTCTCATCAGCAGTAACTGAGAACTGAAATAATGGAAGGAAGAGGCAATCAGTAAAACTTCCCAGTGTTTTAAGGAAATTTTGTTCTATAAGTCATTTTAAATATTGTATAGAAAATATATTTTCACAGCCAATCTGCCAATATTACTTATTACTATGATTTACAGCAAATAAAATAACTGCTGAAACTACTCTTTTCACCTTTCTAACTGGCTCATGACAGAATTCTGAGGTTACTTTATTACATAAAACCAGACTTTTTCTACCTCTAATATAAAAAAGCCATAGTATTATTAATTTCAGTTTTATTATGAAGTAAAAAGCTCAGATTTGTGGCCTTAAAAAAGCAAACCTTAATACTCTAGCAATAAAATGTAGAGCCACCACCTCAGGAAACTCAACTTTACATCTCCCATTATGCTTACCTTTTCTTTATGCTTATAAGCAAATGAGAACTCACCATTTGAATTGTATAGAATCTGCATAGTTTCAAACTCCAAAGTTGTGTAAGTTGGGTCCAAAACTTCACTGTAATTTGCCATGTCCATGTCCAGTATTGGTTCCGATACCCTCATCATTGATTTAGAAACACACATACAAGTGGCACCACAAGCCCAGAGTGTGTGATGACTGTTTTTGCTTTCAATCTGTGAGTGATAATTCCAAGTTAACTGTAACTGAGTGACTTAAGTGCTGCAGTGGGAGGGGCTGTAAAACTGTAACCTCCTTCAGCAAACCATATTCTGCTTATTTCTTCTTCTTTTATGGCATACGAAAGCAATTCCTTGTGATAATCTTGGAAGGCTTCATGGAATCACCTTATCTGAAGTGCTTAGTAGACTAATACGATTTCCTAAATAGATTTCCAGTAGACAATAAATGATATCTCTAAGACAAGGATTAAAACTAGAAATGAGGATCTCTCAGGGTATAAACTGTAATTATAATGTGAGGCATCCTAGTTAAGGGCTCAAAACCACACATGCCATATCTTCTGGAAGATGGAACTTGGTGTCTTGTCATAAATTTGATAATTTGAGACTATAAGTTAACACCTAACAGGCTGGGTAAGCACTGCACAGTTTCAAGTTTTCTTCGAATACATTGACACAAAAGAAGTTTGGAATTTGGAATTTGGAATTTAGAATTGACAAAAACTTATAAGAGTCCAGAAGCATCTTGAGTATAACTCTTTCTTATTATCAACCTTTTCTTATTATCTTTAGCTATCAGTTGATGTGTTTGTGTCCCATCTGTGTCAAGTTAATTTTCCCAAGACAGAACCAGTATAGTGGCTAGTATATTTTAGATACAAGTTTATTATTGTTAAACAAATAAGGTTTTATTCCTTTTGACTTCTGATGCTTATTCCATGATAAGCACTAAACTTAAGTATATTTACCCTTAAAATGTGTGGCCATACATGTTCCCATCAGCTACCTTTATTTATATAGCACAGTATGTCTTTTTGTGTGCATATGTGAAAATGGGGCATTTCAGAGTTTGGGTAATATCGAGATGACAGTATTTGATGGGTATATTTTACTACTGACAATGTGTTTATTCATTTTATCTTCCAAGAAAGAATTACAGCCCCATTCACAGCAAAATAGTATTTCTTAATCAGTTCAATTTCTTTTTTAAAAAAGAGTTATATATTTATTTGAAAGACAGAGTTACACAGAGAGAGGTAGAGACAGAGAGAGTGGTCTTCCATCCGCTGGTCCACTCCCCAGATGGCCGCAATGGCTGGAGCTGCGCTGATCAGAAGCCAGGAGCTTCTTCCAGGTTTCACAAATGGGTGCAGGGGCCCAGAAACCTGGGCCATCTTCTACTGCTATCCTAGCCCACAGCAGAGAGCTGGATTGGAAGAGGGGCAGCGGGCTTCAGGCCAGGACATTAACCCATTGCGCCACAGTGCCGGCCCCCAGTTCAACTTCTTAATACCATAAACCTGTGAATGGTCTGTCTTAGAAATTGCTGACTTCATCATCTGGAAAAGCTAGCCTCTTCTGTGCAAAACCATGTGTAAAGAAAATAGCAGTTGGGGCTGGTGCTGTGGCGCAGTAGGTTAATCCTCCACCTACAGTGCCAGCATCCCATATGGACACCAGTTCAAGTCCCGGCTGCTCCACTTCCAATCCAGCTCTCTGCTATGGCCTGGGAAAGCAGTAGAAGAAGGTCCAAGTGCTTGGGCCCCTGCACCCTCATGGGAGACCTGAAGGAGGCTCCTAGCTCCTGGCTTCGGATCAACTCAGCTCCAGCCACTGAGGCCATTTGGGGAGTGAACCAACGGATGGAAGACCTTTCTCTCTGTCTCTCCCTCTCACTGTCTGTAACTCCATATCTCAAATAAATAAAATAAAATCTTCACAAAAAAGCAAAAAATAAAAAATAGCAGCAAGTCATTTAACAATATGATTCATTAAATCAAACACTGATCATTGGAATGCATTCTGTATGTCCTTAATTGTGAGGTTAATATTTTGAGATAATTTTAGGAACTGGTTTTCTTTAATGAAGGCTACCCATCTTACTCAGTTTTGGGGCAGTAGACAGTACAAATCCTGTGGCTTTCATTTGCAAGAAGTGGTTCTCATTTATCATAAAGCAATGAAGGGGTGAATTGTGCTGAGCCCCTGTTCTTTATCTGTGTGGCAACTAATCAATACTTAGGGATGTCACTAACGGGAGTGACCCAACAGAAAGAAAATAAGAAAAAGATACGGAACCTCTCACTTACAGGACTGCACAACACCAAAAGAAATCTGGACTCAGCTCAGGAGAACCATGTTGTCACAGTTTGTCATTCGCCCCTGTCTGTTCCCATGGCAGTTCAGGGCATGTGACTCTAAGTTAGAAGGGGCTATGCATAAATCTCAGCACAGTTCTCCAAGTGGCCATGAATGTTTAATCTGAGCTGAATCCTCAAGATGGGACTTACTGTGAAAATTCTTTTTTCATTTTATAAAGTAAGAACTTGAGGATTTCCAGAGGATAGAACAGAGCTGAAGAGCAGGTCTGTCTCTATTAGTGGACAGTTTTGTCCTCTTAATGATTTTCAGATGTGAAAACAGTGATAGAACTGTCAGCCTCAATCTGGCAAAGGGGGATTTCCTGTAACTTTTATTCTGAGAGAGAGTACAAACTGCAGTAGATGTGCTCTTCTCTTAAATTCTAGGACTTGTAATTTATTGACCTGATTAAGCAAATGAAATTAAAACAGAATCATGAAAATGATATATCTATATTTATAGTGTTTTGACTTAAATGGATATAAATGCTACTATTTTGTTTTGAGAATAAACAGAATTGAGTACAAATCCACTGATTAGGATTCTGTACTAATTGTTTCCTTCCTTCCTTCCTTCCTTCCTTCCTTCCTTCCTTCCTTCCTCTTTTTCTCTCTTTCCTTCCTTCCTCCCTCCCTCCCTCCCTTCCTTCCTTCTTCCTCTTCCTCTCTCTCTCTTTCTTTCTTCTTTTTCTTTTTCTTGCATAACATTCACGCACTGCCTTTGATTTCCAGTCTTTATTTTAACAGAGGAAATAGCTATCTATAAAACAAGCTGAATGCAGAAGGCTTCTATAATTTTATAGTTCTAAAGATTTTGTGTATTTCAATTGCTTTGCTTTTACCTATATCCAAATTATATCCCTTTTAAAAATGTATTCATTTACTTATCCATTTATTTTTTATTTCTTTGAAAGGCAGACAGACAGTGAGAGCTACAGACAGTCAGACAAACAGAGATCTCTCATTCCATCCACTTGTTTATTTCCCCAAATGTCTGTAATAGCCGGAAGACCTGGCTGGGCTAAAGCCAGGAGCCAGGAACTCAGGCTTTGAGTCTCTCATGTGGTTGGCAGAGACACAACTACTTGATTCATCACCTGCGGCCTCAAAGGGTGCCAACCAGCAGAAAACTGGAGTCGGAAGCAGACCCAGGACTTGAACCCCTGCACTCTCATATGGGATATCAGAGTCCCTACTGGCATCTTCACTGCTATGCCAAATGCCTGCCCCTCCCTTGATTTTATATGTGGGAAAATAAAACTCGTTTAACTCTCATTTCCATTAGATTGTGCAACAGTTAAATTATGAAATAAAATAATAAGAATAAATGATAGTAACATGCCAGGTAACAGGTACAAGTGACTCCAGGTAGGTATATAAAATTGATGAGATATGCCTACTCTGGAAACTAATTGGTATTGCCCACAAAGGAAATTGAGAACCTAAGTTAATCCCAGGAGCTGGCTAAATGGAGACTGGTTATGTTTCTCCGGTATTGATTTTTAACTTAAGATAACTTATATTTATAAATATTTATATTCTTCTTTAGGACCAATCTTTTATGCCTACTTTGAAAACCAGTCAGGGCATATTAATAAATTTATTTTTATTTTATCTAAAATGCAGAGAAAGAGATCTCCCATGAACTGGTTCATTTCTAAATGTCTACAGTGGCTGGGGCTGGGCAAGACCAAAGTCAGAAGCTGAGCACAAAATCTGGGGCTCCCTCATGGTTGGCAGAGACCTAACTACTTGAGGCAGGGTCTGCTCAGTTCTGTGTGCGTCAGCATGACACTGAAATCTGGAGCAGAGTTGAACTCCAAACAGAGCTCTGATATGGGCTACGGACGTCTCCGGCAGCAGCTTCACCTCAGGATACTTTTAATTTGTTTAAAGAGGAGGAGGAGATGATGGAGGACAAGGAAGAAAAGAAAGAGAAAAAGAGAAAGTTACAGAGAAACAATTTTATAGATTTTTAGCTGTGTATCTTAAGCAAAGCAAGTAACACATTCTAGTATCCCTTGTGTTTTTCATGGAATAGTGATTGAAGTTTCGTGATTCTGAAAATGTCCATGATTCACCAGCAGCAAAAATAAAATAAAAAGTTGTAACAAGTACTTCCAATGGGTAAATTCATTAAGAATGTATTATATTAAAAGAGATAGAAAAATGACATGAATTTTATGCTTATGTGATAATAATAAGAATTATCTTTAAATGAATGGGACTTATGCTACTAAACCCTTCCTTTAAAATAAATATATGAGTAATTTTAAGTTTACTTCTATAAGTTTAATTGGGTAAAATATCATAGATACTTGAAAATATAGGGAGTGGATAAGGGGAGGGTTGCGGGTTGGAGGGACGTTATGGGGGGGAAGTCATTGTAATCAATATTCTGTACTTTGGAAATTTATATTCATTAAATAAAAGTTAAAAAAATTATAGGTGATTTCAAAAAAAAAGAAAATATATGAAACAGTAATTTATGAATAGCATTCATTTCCTACAGTAGAAATATATAAATGTAATATATCCAAAAGTACAAACATATATGATAAAGTATCATCTGAAGAGCTCTTGTAGCACAGGGCATTTTGAAGTACCTGTTCCCTAAGGTGAGTAATATAGTACTGTTATTTTCATGATCTCATGTTTTGTGCATGTACTGTTTTAGCCCTACTGAGATCAAATACTCCAGTGAGAATGACAACAGTATTTGCTAATAAAAGGTCAACTTTGAATAGCACAACAAATTATCTTGAAAAGTTTTTCTCTCAGAGCAATGGTTTTATAAACAGGTATGTGAAATATGATATTTAAATTTCTTTAGAGTAACACGAGCTGAAAATAGCATAGCATTTAAAAAAGACAACTCAATTCACAATTGACTGCTCAAGATAATAGCAGAAACATTTCTATCTTATCTGTGAAACTATTAAGACTGTTAAATCGTTCTATATATTTGATTTAATCATTCCTTAAGAGCGTGATTTAGAATAGAAAACAGGCTAATAAAAATCAAGGTTGTTTTCATAAAAGAATTTTCATGGAAATAATCCAGAATGCTGGTATCAATACAAATACATTTAATAGTCAACAAAATTTGCTCTGAACTTATTCATTTGGCATTATTTTTCATTACATAAAGTGCTACATAAGAATCCCAAAAGCACATTTGTAGTGTTTGCTGTTTCCATATCCCACTTTTCAAGTATGAAGATTATACAAATATGATCACTACAAGCCAGGTAAACACGAACAATCCAAATCAGCTCAGCATATTTTTCACTGTAAGCATTAGTGGAGAACTCTACCTGACAAATTGGCTTATTAATTCATAGCAAGTCACCTTTCATTTTTTTCAAAAAAACCCCAAAACATTGTTTTTCCTCACTGCCTCTGTCCTACCTTAACTATCATTCATCTTTTGAAACAAAAATCTTGTCTTCTTCCTAGTTTTGAGCAACAAAAACAAGAAAATTAAAACAAAAATTAGGCATTTTGAGCTTCAAAGCAAGTCACTATCACCAACAAGGCTTATAGTTGCTTGTAAGGATGCCGTCTATTTTCAAAGACTTCCATAAATCTTCTCAAAAGACTCAGATTATACATAATTTACAGATAAGCAAAAATAATTTTATTTTTACCTTGTTTTTTGATCTAGCAGAGCTATATACAATGATCACAGAATCAAATTAATTCATTAGGATACTTAAACCACAGTCATTCCCATTATTTAAAAAATGTAATTTTGTTATTATTCTTGAAACATAGTTCTTAAAATTGCTCAAAATTTATAAATGCAAATTGAACTTTCAAAGCTTTTCTTATATAATTTTATAATTCCCCTTAAAGAATTACATTAGAGCACATTTCCCAATTTATATTGTTTTTATTGTGTATAAGCCTTATTTCAAAGAATCAATTTTAAGTCTTGATTTTAGTGTTATATCGGATCCACATCTTTTTTCTGATCAATGTAACCAACTCATATCAGTACTAGAGAATGTCATTTGACTGTAAAACCTAAATATATTAGAGAAACATGAGCACCTTATGAAATAACTGAATTACTTTGGAAATGTGCTACTATTCTTTGTAATATTTATGGTTACCTAATCTATTAATATTTAATTTGTTCATTAAGCATTCAGATTATTTTAAATCAGTTATGCAAGTAAATGCAAAGTCCAAAACTAAAGAAGAGTGAAAACTATATTATAATTAAATCAGTTACTGTTATAATGGACAAAATAAAGCTTGTACAGCTGAGAAGTACAGTTTAGAGGTGATATAGGAAATCTGCATATATTAAATCTACCTTCAAGGTCAGTTCCCTTATGATTCAAAACATACTCTCCTTTTCGGAAGATAAGCAGCTGATTAGTACTAAATTATTAACTGGAATATAGATTATACTGGTAAGGGGAAAAAAGTTCAGAACATCTTGGGATTTGACAGTCACTATTTCTGCATCTTATTTTTACAGTAAGTATAATCATTGTTGCCACTGCAAACTCAACAAAACTCGTCAGAATATTGAAGATTATGGTGGTATTCCGATACCAAAGTTGCTGCATTATACAAAATGAAGGGAAGGAAGTTATCAGTTTAGGTCAGTACATTCAAATACGTTCTAAAGAGGTACAATGTTTAAGAAAAATAGCAACAGTTTATTTACACTTCAACGTTTTAAAAAATATACTGTAATGACCATAAACATTAGCTTCAGGATGCCAGACACATGAGTAGATAAATAACGATTACAATTCTTCCATTTAAAATACAATAATAAATTATGTGTAGAGTCATGTGTTGGGAATCAGTTCAGCATTGCTTCTTATACTTTTTTCAGACACCAAGGGAGAACAAAGTTTTAATGTGATATTTAACTTGGATAAAACTTAACTATTACATTTCCATTTAACAATGGTTTAAACCACTACTTGGGATGCCTACAACCCATGTCAGAGTGCCTGGGATTGAAGTCCAGGTCCCCTGTTTTCTATCCAGCTTCCTGCTAATGCACTGGGAGGCAGCAGATTATGACTCAAGTATTTGGATTACTGACATTCATGTGGGAGGCACGGATGGAGTTCCTGTCTCCTGGTTTCTTCAGCCTGGCCCAGCCTTGGCTGTCATGGGCATTTGGTGAGAGAACCAGCAGTTGGAACCTCTCTGTCTTCTCTTTCTCTCTCCATCTCTGTCACCCTGCCTTTTAAAGAAATAAAGGTCTTTTAAAAACATATTTTCAAAACTGCTATGATAAAGTATTTATTTTGGAGTAAAAATGCAGGAATTAAGTGATATTAATAGGAAACATACAAATCTACTATGGATTAAACATCTTAGGTGGGGGTCAGTGCTGTGGCTCAGCGGGTTAACGCCCTGGCCTGAAGGGCCAGCATCCCATATGAGCGCCAGTTCTAGTCCTGGCTGCTCCACTTCCAATCTAGCTCTCCGCTATGGCCTGGGAAAGCAGTGAAAGATGGCCCAAGTCCTTGGGCCCCTGCACCTGCATAGGAGACCAGGAATAAGCTCCTGGCCCCTGGCTTCGGATCGGC